TTATTACGGGCGATAATTACCTTGTATTACCATGGTATTCGTTCCCTATATTATCCAATTACTCAACAAGCCTTATGACATATCAGTACGGAATTTTCCCCCTATTACCCCATTACCCGTTACCATCAAGTCTCATGACGTATATCATCATGGTATTTCTCCCCATTACCCCATTGTCAGTTACCAACAAGCCTCATTACCTATCTGTATGGTACTTCCCCCTTTAGTACCCCTTTACCATTAACTAACAAGCCTCATGACTTATCATTATGGTATTAACCCCCCTATTTCCCCTATTACCCATTACCTCATGTCGTATATCAGTATGGTATTTTCCCCCATTGCCCCTTTACCCCATTACCCATTTACCCCATTACCCCATTACCATTACCCCATTACCCCATTTTTCCCAATACCCCATTACCCATTACCCCATTACCCCATTACCCATTACCCCATTACCATTACCCATTACCCCATTACCCCTTTATACCAATTACCCATTACGTTGCAGTAACCGCGTGGTGTCTGAGCGCGACGTAGACGGTATCCTGCGCCTAACCATCCGTCACGTGCGGGAGGAGGACGCGGGGTCCTACACTCTGAAGGTCTGGAACGACTACGGCCAGGCCGCCTCCATGGGCAAGCTCGTCTGTGAATGTGAGATATACTTTATAATGCTTTATATTAATTTCTAATACTTTCTGATGCTTTCTAGTACTTTCTAATACTTGCTGCTACTTTCTTATTTACTCTACGTATATTACTCTATAGACTAAGTTTATTACTTAGATTTATATTAAGGGATTTATTACATTTCTAATTTGCTTCTGATTATATTATAATTTATAATTACAGTGAGTGATATAAATACATATAATATAATATTATTAGGTCTTACGAAAGTGCCTACAGCATTATTAAAGTATTCTTAGGTCTTATGAAGGTGCTTGTAAGTTTTATAAACGCATTCATAAGTCTTGTGAAAGTGCTTGTATAAACGTATTATAAACGTATTCTTTGGTCTTGTGGCCCGTTGGCCGGACTTGGCCCGTTCACTGGCCCGTTTCCCCAGCATAAAGTCGGCCCGTTTTCACCAGGTATATCGAAGAAGGCCCGTCGGCCCGTTGGCGACGAGTATCAGGGCTGGGATAAGATGAAGCGGACCGGAATACCGGTCCCGTTACCAGACCGTCCCTTCATCAGCGCCTTGTCGGACCGACGGGTGACGGTCTCGTGGAACCCGTACATCGCTCAGGGACCTCAGCCGCCCGTTACGTACCAAGTGGAAATGTGCGAGAGTCCCGAGGGCGACTGGTTCACGGCCCGTTCTGGTGAGTGACCCGTTAAATGACCCGGTGAGTGGCCCGTTAAATGGCCCGTTCTGGTGAGTGGCCCGTTAAATGGCCCGATGAGTGGCCCGTTAAATGGCCCGGTGAGTGGCCCGTTCTGGGCAGTGGCCCGTTAAATGGCCCGTTAGATGCCCCGTTCAATGGAGTGGCCCGTTAAATGGCCCGGTGAGTGACCCGTTAAATGGCCGGGTGAGTGGCCCGTTAGATGGCCCGGTGAGTGACCCGTTAAATGGACGGGTGAGTGGCCCGTTAGATGGCCCGTTCTGGAGAATGGCCCGTTAAGTAGCCGGGTTAGTGGCCCGTTAGATGGCCCGTTCAAGAGAGTGGCCCATTAAATGGCCGGGTTAGTGGCCCGTTAGATGCCCTGTTTTGGTGAGTGGCCCGTTAAATGGCCCATTAGATGGCCCGTTCTGGGCAGTAGCCCGTTAAATTGCTTGTAGATTGACGCGTTAAATTATTAGTCGTTATTTGATATATTAAACAACGTTCAAATTTGAACATTATTTGATATATTAAACAACGTTCAAATATCAACGTTATTTGGTATATTAAACAACGTTCAAATATCAACGTTATTTGATACATTAAACAACGTTCAAATATCAACGTTATTTGATACATTAAACAACTTTCAAATATCAACGTTATTTGATGCATTAAACAACGTTCATATATCAACGTTATTTGATACATTAAACAACGTTCAAATATCAACGTTATTTGGTATATTAAACAACGTTTACATATCAACGTTATTTGATACATTAAACAACGTTCAAATATCAACGTTATTTGATACATTAAACAACGTTCAAATATCAACGTTATTTGATACATTAAACAACTTTCAAATATCAACGTTATTTGATGCATTAAACAACGTTCATATATCAACGTTATTTGATACATTAAACAACGTTCAAATATCAACGTTATTTGGTATATTAAACAACGTTTACATATCTACGTTATTTCAACATTTGATGCTTGATGGGTGTCTTATTGAATCTTGTATATAATTTTTTGTCGTTTACATTATTTATTATATTATATATATTTTATATTATTCAACCCCCAAATTCCTTCAGTGATCAGACTGAATAATGACCCACCTAATGACCCACCTAATGACCCTTATGACCCACCTAATGACCCACCTAATGACCCACCTAATGACCCACATGACCCACCTAATGGCCCCCCAGGCATCAGGGGCACGGCGGTCGACATCACCAACCTCGCCCCCAAGAGCGACTACAAGTTCAGGGTCCGCGTGGAGAACAATCACGGCGTGTCCGAGCCCTCGCCCTACGTCGCCACCTTCAGGTACGTCGGCTGCTGGAAGACGTCTAGGTACGTCCGTATGTCCAATACGCGTTCCACGAGGTCACTGTTAATGATGATAATAGTATTAAGTAAATAAAAAATTTATTATAAACCTAAATAATAAATCAATACAATTATTATTTCCCAGAATATCGCTATTTCTATGAGGAAATGTGGGGAAATTTTAATGTGTTCCCCAAACCTTTTACGTTTGTTTTGTTTTGAGATAAAATAATTTAGGGTAAAATAATTTAGGGTAAAATAATTTAGGTTAAAATAATTTAGGGTAAAATAATTTAGGTTAAAATAATTTAGGGTAAAATAATTTAGG